AACTTTCAGATTAGCTGAGAGGGGCACAGCTAGGGAGTTGGGGATAGCCTGGGTGCAGAGCCTCTGGTTGCTCAGTAGAGTAGTGGAGCCCAGGCTTTTCCTAGGAAGCCTTTTACCAACGAATGAGCAAGGCAGGTGCCCTGGCCATCTCCAATCATTGTGGAACTTTTCAAGTCGGTGATATGTCTCAGCGCAGCCTGTTGGGCTGGTTGAGACTTGTGCTGGCTAGTGCTGCAGCTTGACACTCTTCCTAACTGATCTTTCCTCCCCCTCATCTTTCATGGGAGACAGACTGGCATCATGGCCTGCATCTCTATAGAGCTTCAAGTACTGTGCAAAGCTGGTAACCACCATATCGCCCAATTTCTGGACTGGAACAGCACAGCATTCTTAGGTGTGATCTGAGTTGCTGCCTGAACTCAGAGAGGCCTACCAGGCACTATGATTCCTTCTTTTAGATGGGATATTTGATGCAGCAATTTCTCTTTTGCTTTGGAGGGGGTATTCCCACAGGAACCTAACCAGTGGACCCCTTAACAACCTCACTGAAGAGGCAGGTACCTGATCTTCTGCGCTCTGAAGCACAGGTGTTTCACAAAGGCCTCCAGCACACTAGTCACCTCTTGTTTCTCGTGGCCAGTGAGCAGGATGCCATTGATGCAAAAGATGAGTTTGATGTTCAGTGGGTTCAGATGATCAGAATCACTCCAGTACCATCATGACAGAGAGTGGCTGAGTTAATACAGCCCTTAGCCAAAAGAGTAAGTGAATATTGTAGTCTCTTCCACGTGAATGTGAGCTGTTCCTGATCTTCTTTTCTTTTTTTTTGAGACGGAACCTCAAGCTATCCCCCTGGGTAGAGTGCCATGGCTTCACGCTCACAGCAACCTCCAACTCCTGGGCTCAAGCGAGTCTCCTGCCTCAGCCTCCCAAGTAGCTGGGACTACAGGCGCCCAGCACAATGCCTGGCCATTTTTTGGATGCAGCCATCATTGTTGTTTGGCGGGCCCGGGATGGGGATTCGAACCCGCCACCTTAGGTGTATGTGGCTGGCGCCTTAGCCGCTTGAGCCACAGGAGCCGAGCCTGATCTTCTTTTCTAATCTGTCATGTTGGGGAACACATACTATGGGCCTGGGGCCTTATTAAGGTACTACTCTAGCTGTGACTGGGACTCCACATGGTTAAACTTGTAGCAGCCTGTTGTCATTCTCCAGAGTCCATCCAGTTCCTGCAGGGAAGACTGGCAATTAAAAAAGAGATATGAGAGGAACAACTTTTCCCTGTTTTGTCTGTACTGAGTTTCTTACGTTTCCCTTTGTTCTTCCCCATGATGGTAGCACTTCCTCATAGACCAATAAACAAATACATGAGTTACTCCAACTGCCAGGTATATTCTTTCCAATTACTATGTATATATGGAAATGGGGAAATGACCACTGGGGGAATCTAAAGACACCATGAGCCCACTGTGTGCCAGTCTGTAGCCAGGGCTCCATTCATTATCTGAAGCCATAAGATGCTTTAGGTCTCCAGGTATCACAGTCAACTCAGAACATGTGTGCAATAAATAGCTTGGGTCTTCCCCTTTCCCTAGTGCACCATCACCTAAGGAAATGGCCGTAGGTCCCCCAGAGAAGGACGGCATAAATCATCACAGTGTATACTTGTAGTGTTGCAGAGTACTTCTTCTGAGTGACCCGGATAATCCGCCTCTTTAGAATGTATTTGGGATCTGAAAACTGGATCAGTTCTGGCAACTGAACAAAGGATCAAGACTTTTCATTGGGGCAGTTGCTCTCAGCTGTTCTTGCCCTCTTCTGGTTGTAGATAGTAAGCATCACCCATGCTCTATCATCTATCTCTCCACCTTTTTGGAGGGTCATCCGCCTTTGATGTCTTTCTGACATTTCCAGTTTTTACAGTAATTGTGGACTCCAGGCTTCTAGCAGTTAAACATCACCTTTTAGTTCAATTTTGCGGACTTAGCGTGCTTATGAATATTAATGACCTAGGTCTGTGACAGCAACTGCTGAATTTAGTGAGGCCACCAAAGACATTATCCTGATGTTTTGGAGAATAATCCTTTCTAGGGAATATGTTCCTCTGGTGAGTGTTCTGGGACTCACATAATATATTCACTCTAGTACATCTCATCCTTCCTATAGCATCTCAGGCGTTTCATTTTGTCATTGGCTGACAGTAGCCACAGGAAGTGTGGAGTTTAGCAGGAAAGCCGTGGAGCAGCCCAAGAGGCAATTGCTGGGCTGGAAGCCAATTATGCTTTCAGAAGTGGGAGACCCACATGGCACATTGTCATGAGTGCCACATGTGTAAAAGCAGGACATATATAATTTATTTTTTTTTTTAAAAGCCTATGGGCATATTATAGGGCAAAATCAGTAAAGTACTAACTTTCTGGTTATTTTAAAGGTATTTTAATAAAAGTGTGTAGAGCTAACATTTATTGAGCGTTTACGATACACTAGGCACTCTGCTAAGCATATGGTGTTACATTATCTCATTATGTAGTTATTATTACCAGCCTCATTTTCTAGCTGAGCACACAGGATGCAATGCACCTGAGCAGAATGTTCAAATTCATAAAGTAAGTTAAGGGGGAAAGATTGGATTGGACCCAGGTCAGACCAAATCCATAGCTGGAGGCACTCTTTCATTTATTGCATCAGTGTTTTTTAGTTGTATAGAGATTTTGTAAATATTTTATTAGAATTATGTCTAAAGATTTCATTTTTTTATTCTACTGTAGATGACACTGTTTTTTAAATTCCATTTTCCAATGAGTCATTACTAGTGTATAGAAATACAATTAACCTGTATCCTAAAATCTTCTAAATTAAAATTTGTATAACATTTTTTATACATTATAGAATTTTCTATGTAGATACTATGTCATTTGTAAGTAGAAGAGTTTTCTTTCTTTCCAATCTGTATGTCATTTTATTTCTTTTCTTTTTTTTGCCTTCTTACACTAGATAAGAACTTTAGTATGACACTGATTGGGAGTGGTAAAAGCAGATAGCTTACATTTTTTTCAATATCAGGAAGAAATCTTTCGAAACAATACAAAGTGGTATAACTAAAAAGCCCAAATCTATTAAAAAGGAATTATCAAAAAGATTTGATTAAACCTAAATAAATTAAGAAAGTAGGAACAGGCCAAGCATGTTGTCCAGCACTGTGGGAGGCCAAGGCAGGTGGATCGCCTGAACTCTAGAGGATCAAGACCAGCATAAGACCAGAATAAGACCAGCATGAGCCAGAGTGAGACCCCATCTCTACCAAAAAAAAAAAAAAAAAAAGCTGGGCGTTGTGGCGGGCACCTGTAATCCTAGCTACTTGGGAGGCAAAGGGCAAGAGAATCAGTAAAGGAAGAAAGAAAAAAAAAGCTTCAGACTAAGGTGAGTGAAAGCCAGCTGAAATTGAAAGCAAAAATAAAAAAAAAAAAATATATATATATATATAAAGAATGTAGGAACAGAAAACCAAAAAGACAAACAAAAATCAGACAGGACCAACAGAAAACATTAATAAACTTATTATTCTAAACTCAACCATATCAACAGTTGGATTAAATGTAAATAAATTAAACACTCCAGACAGTAATCAGAAATTCTCAGAAGAGATAAGAAATTAGGACCCAGTATAGTTTCTCCACAAAGAAGAACTTTAAACATAATGATACACATCCGTTGAGAATAAGTGACGGTACTGCAAACCGTAAGTGTAAGGAGATTGGAGGGGTTACATCAGCTTTCGATGTAACAGATGTCAAGACAAAGAGTATTACCAGAGATAAAGGCAGATATACTATAATAATGAAAGAATAAATTTTCAAAAAGACGTAAGAGTCTGACATATCTATGTGCGTAATAAAAGAGGTTCAAAATACATGAGGTGAAAAAGTAACATAATTATAGAGAAAAGAGACAAATTCATAATGATGGTTGGAGATTTTAACACCACTCTCTTAGCAATCCAGAGAAGGAATGGGTACAAGATTTGAATAACACTATCCATCTCCTTGACCTGACTATCATTCATAGAACACAATGTCAATAATCACAGGATAAACATTATTTTCAAGTGCACATGTTATGTTTACTGAAATATACCATTATGCTGGTCCATAAAACTACTCTTAATACATTTGTTATGAGAGGACTGGAATAAAACAATGCTTTCTGACCACAGGGGAATTAAATTAGAAACTGAGAATAATAAGATATCTTAGGGGCGATAAACTCCTTATCTTTGGAAATCAAAGAACATGCTTATTAATAATTCGTAGACTGAAGAAAAAAGTCATAAGACACATTAGTTCAAATGTGTCTGATGATAATGAAAATACAACGTAGCAAAATTTCTGGGACACAGTTACAGTAATGCTTAGAGAGGAGTTTATAGCTTTTAAATCCTAAGGCTAGGACAAAAGAGAGGTGTACGATCAATGACTTTAGTTTCCACAGTAATACCTAGAGAAACGAGAGCAAAGTATATCCCAAATAAGGAGAAGAAAAGAAATAATATAGAGGAGAAATCACTGAAATAGAAAACAGACCAATTACAGAGAATATTAACACCTATAAAACACTTTAGGGTTTTCTTGGGGAAAAGATAAGAAAGTTGATAAACCTTAGATAAGCTGATGATGGAAAAAAATGAGAGATCACCAATAGCAGGAACAAATATATGAATTTATTACAAATGCTAGAGCTATTATGAATAAATAATATGCTAATAAATTCAATAGTTTAGGAGGAAGGGCACATTTCTTGAACAATACAACTTACTAAAACTGACACAAGATGAAATAAAAAATTTTGACAGATCCCATGTCTATTAAAGAAATTGAATTTGTCATCTACATTTTCCCTCTGAACTCTGTTAAACATTTAGGTTAAGAAAAGATTGTAATCTCACATACGTGCTTTCAGAAATAACATATCCCAGGGTGTTTTGCACATATATAAGGGTAGCATGTTCCTGGTACTAAATCTGACAAAGACATTTCAGAAAATAAAAATTAAAACCCTAGTCAAGTTGGCCACCTAGTTTGTTTTCGTTCCCAGCTGCCAACTGGCAGACAGTCTGCCCTAAACTTGGGATGGGGGAAGGAGGGCTAGCTGGCCAGTGGGCTGCAATATCAAGCTTCCACGCAGCTCCCAACTGCACGCGAAGATAATGAAGCCCGGTCTGAGCCTTCTTCAGGTTTCTGCAAGACAAATAGAAGTATGAAGTGGTTGAGGAAATATAGGAAAACTCATTTAGAAGATAAAACATTGTTGCCAAACACAGAACTCTAAGATTTATAGAACTAGTACTTAAAGGAGAGTTCTCTGAAATCATGCTATGCCAACAACATTTGTTCTATTGTTTGGCTGAACGATCCACATGGCAGAAGTTGAAAATAAATAAAATAACTGAGTGATAATGGAGTCAGGAAATAAACAGAAAAAAAAATGATGAAACTTCTGAACAGAAACAAACATACAAATAACAGCAATACTGAGAACTCAGAGCAGAAGAAGAGCGTGAAGAACAAGATGAAGACGTTTCACACATACCCTTAAACTTGGATGAGAATAAAACAAAGTTTCCTCACAATCTTTATTTGAAGCTTGGTTCTTGCAGAGCACACCTCTGGATGAACAGAACATGAGGCTGACCAAATCCCAAAAGGTGTCTTTTTCTGGTAATGTTTGAGCACGGCTGCGTGCAGGCTGAGGCCTGGAGAGGTGGTTCAGACAAAGTGCTTTCAGCTATAGCGGTAAACATGTCATTCTGTCTGGAAACAGGGCAGAAACAGGTGCTAGAGATTTGCAAGAGCTGCATAGGGAAGAATCAGGGAAGTGAGAGATTTGTTTCTTTTCTATTTTCACTGACAATGTGGTGAAACAGGAGAGGGAGAACAATCACTAATATCAATGAGGCTCAGCAAAGAATCTAAAGACTTGAGAGAATAACATGGAATTCCTGCCTCTGATGGAGAAACCCTAATGCAGAAGGTTTGGCTGTGAAATCTCAGACTGTAACTGAGAAGTAAGCACATGATCAGGGAATGCTGGGGTGATCTGGCTTAGACTATGTCTAGTGGACTTTCCTCCACAATGAAAGCTATGGTAACTACACTGGGAGAGAAAAACCCCCAAGATACTTACATCTTTGCTCATACTCTGCCGTTATGTATTTGTCAAAATCGGTTGCCTGTTATGGGAGTATCTATTGCTTTGGGAGCAATTAAAGATGTTTATTTATTTTTTCTGTTGATCATAACTGCTTCAAAACTCAACAATATCATTTCTCTTTCAGAACCAGGAAAAAAGGCAACAGAACTGAAGGAAATTTGCCATTTTAATGTACGGGCAGGCATGATGCTTTTGAAATTTTTTTGTAAGCACTTGTGTTCTGTTTAGATGGTATAAAAGATGGCACAGATGTTAGGTGGGATAATTTTATAGCTGGTTGAGTTTGTGTTCTTTATAATGTGTTAACATTTTGATTTAATTATTATCATTTTTGTTCATAAAAGTGTCCTATTTTTAAAAAGAGACTTTGAAAAAATCTCTAGGGCCACATCTCCAATGTCTTCTTTGCAACAGGCAAGTTGATTGCAGAATTGCGTTACATAAGGAGATTGGAAATATTTATGTTTATTATAAATTTTGATTTGAGGAAGCCACGAGTTTGGCAACCGAACATGATTTTGAAATGAAACTTCAACATCAGAGCTCAGCAAGATAATCTAGAATCCCAACTAACTGTTGAGAATTACTGAAAAAAAAAATACTCAGTATTCCAATAATGGAGAACGTTGTTCAGGATCTTAAAGACGTTTCCTTACAACAGTACCTCACAGTTGTTAAATATTCTTAAACAGTTCTTTAACAGTTCTTTGGTATCTTCAGACATGAAATAGTTCACACTCAACACCACGTCAACATGTATTCAGGTGACTTTTTCAGTCCCAACACATTCTCTGCCAACCTTCATTGTCGGAGGATAAAGCCAAAACCTACAGGGAAACACACAGCTCCTTCTACCTTAGAGAAGGCTCCCTCTCTATTTGTCTCACTTAAAGTGTTTTTTTCTACTGTCTATGCATTACTGAAGGTCTTGCATATTCTTTCTAGATGAAGTTTGAAAGTGAAAGCTATGAAATTAGATGAAAGCATCTTAAAACCTAACTATGAAACACTACAGCAGATCAGATGTCAAATAACTTAATTCGCTTAACATAAATGGTGTTATGAAACATGATCTTAATTTAATGGTGGACCTATGTATGAAATTACATGTTTAAGAGCTTCCTATAAGAAATTCAGAAACCACTGAAAATAACCTAAAAGAATGGTTAAAGATAGATTTTCTGTTTATATTTGATATTTGGAGGAATAAAGCTTATTTCAGATACTTAAATCACTGAGTGTTTGCCTATAGGCCCTTCACGAAGTACATCAAATATTGGCAATCTACTGTTACATAGGTACAGTTTGAATTTGCATTCTTTGAAGACCTCTCTTTTCAGAAGACAGCATTAAAAGAATATTTCATTTCTGTTTTTGGCCCTCTGGAGATAAACTTAAGTCATTTTGAACATAGTACCATGAATCTAATTATCAGGTATTAAGTTACTGGTTCTTTAAAAAAGTAAACATTGGGGAAATGTTGGGAGAATTAATATATTTTGTAAAATATTACAATAAAGCATGGGATTGACCATTGACTAGTAGGTGTTTTTGTGTGTTGTTCAAAATCTGTAATGAATAGTTAAGGAATTTATCAGGAAAGCAGCAGAAACTGTGACCTCACCCAACAGAGATTTCAGTGCAGATTCTGTCTCCTTTAAGTGACTGTAAAGAGAAAATGGAAGATTGAATAGGGAGCAATCCAAAGGTATTCTGCATCTGGTTGTTTACATCCATTTGTTGGGTTTCCACCTTACCTGAGTCAGAAGCTTTTTAGCAGGTATACATCAAACACTTCTGTTTCACAGTGCAAAGAATCAGAGGCCTTGGACATTGACCACCCATCTGAACATTTTCTTTCTATGACCACATGCACTGCCTATCTTGATTTGTAAGACTTATCTGGGAAAATATAAATTTTATTGTTTATATGAGACTAATTCATGAATAATTGCTCTTATTCTTGGTGAGAGAAAGAAGTTTTATGCAACATTTTAATATAAATAAAATGTGTTTTATTTTTCTAAAAAAGAAATTACAGGCTCGGCGCCTGTGGCTCAGGCGGCTAAGGTGCCAGCCACATACACCTATGGTGGCGGGTTCGAATCCCCAGCCCGGACCCGCCAAACAACAATGATGGCTGCAACCAAAAAATGGCCAGGCGCTGTGGCGGGCGCCTGTGGTCC